GAAAAAATCGCTTTTTTTACCAAACAGGCACTACAAGTTTCCAAGTTCTGAACATGAATCTTTGTTCCCAAATTGGCAATTGTTGGCAACAAAAAAATCAAATGCCTGGCAGGAATAGAACCAATCATTCTGTGGGTTTAACAAACAATTCACATCAGCCAATGATATTATATGTTCCAGAAGATTCTAAACAGGTCAGAAAATGAGTAAGCCAAAACCATGTTCTCAAGAACCAAACAATCAATTCCTGGAAAATCCCCTTAAACTAATCTGATATTGATGACTGGAATTCCAGACCATCGTCAAATCAAAAGTATTGGTCAAAGGAGAAAGCCTCTCAGAATCATGGTAAAAAGAACTTCAAATCCAATTCAACTTTGGCAAAATGGGCATTTTCCCTAACTTAACAAGTAACTCAACAAATCAAGTGATAAATGATCCCATGCTGAAAAAGACTTTCCAAAAACTATAAAGTAGAAGACAAATGTAACATAGAAAATGAATTACGTGTTCGTCTAAACTTGTAAGATAGACAATGACAGCAATACCATCCTCAAATGTTGAGTCCTCAACCTAACATTCTCTCAAGAGTTGAGAGGCATGCATACCGGTGGGTAATGAGTTCATCTTGTCATTTTGATCATAATCTAAAGTCGGCAGTAATCAATTTAAGTTTCAAGGTTGACATGCCCTTTGATATTAACGTACAAACTTATCGAATCCAATAATGGTGGTATAAATTTTAACCCCTGCTGCCTCCATCCTTCTAATTAATGACGAGAGGATGTATATCCCCAATTTATCCATGCCAATCTAAACTAAAACTCTCTCTGGAGTCTGGTTAATTAGAAGAATAGAAAAGGCTAGGGTTAAAAACTGTCTCTAAGAATATTACAGGGTTTAACCCTAACTGCTCCCATTATTCTGCTTAAATTTCAGGAGGATACCTATGCTTAATTTATTCATAAGCCAGCTCAATCCTCCTAAAGAACAGAAATTCTCTGTCCTTGTTTTTTTATTATTAAACATCAAAGAAAACAAGTATCTGGAAGTTAAAAGGAAAAGCTAGTGGCCCAAATATACTAGCTTGTTCTCATTTATTATCTAATATTTCAAAGATTACTGGAATGGAAGATTCGAATCTGGGATTTTCTGAGGAGTGATGACCCTATCCTAACTATAACCATGAAATCATAGTAAGACAAATGCTTAAACACTTAAAATTCTATGAAGGCCAGATAATTTATTAAGAGATAAACAAATCAAAGCTGATTCAGCAACCTAATCTTAGAATGAAGTTTCACAATAATAAACATTATCAAATGAGTAAATGCATACCAATTCACTTGCCCCATCAATAGAAAACTGCCAATGGAACAAACTCTAACTGCTAGATAAGATTGTGAGACTTCGAGTTAAGAAGGTGTCTGAATCATTTCCTTAAAAAAATTCTATCTTGGTATGCTAATTTTTTTTGTTATGAACTAGTAAATAGCAGTTCATATTTGTGAGAATTATTGACAAACAATGAAGACAGTATATACTCATCATCAAAACCTGCAATTCCATAAAATTTACTAGCGAAAAAAGAAAAAGAATTTGCTTAATAATAACAGAGACAAAGGATATTTGGAATTATGAACAAATTCACTTCATAAAAGATGTAGGATTGATAGAAATTTATGAGTTTTAAGAAGAACCCAATATTAGAATGAGCAAGGGAAACAGATATTCCCGAAAAGAAATACATCCGTATATACCAAAACCTATCGTCTCCATCTCTACAAATTCAGATTCCACAGGAACAACAAAACTGTGGGGAGGGGGAATTAATCAAGAAAATTGGGGAAATATACAGGATAAAATGAGGAAGGCGATTGATCTACCTAGAGATGTGGAAAAGGGAGCGGATGACCCGAGACAAGCCGAGGCGAATGCGAGGGTAGGTGCGGAGAGTGAACACGGCGATATGGCGGAGCACACCCTCAAGGGTATCGACGAACAAGTTGAGGCTTCGGATCGGCGGCAAGTAGAGGGTCAATGGCACCACCGAGAACGCCACCGCGAAGAACAGCTGCAGCATTTGAGCGACTTGTTTTTTCTTGAGGAATTTTGTGCTCCGAGAATCGAAGATTATATATTGACGCTCTTTCTCTGTACCCGAGAATGGGACTCCTGTGTGGATAAAGAGGATGATTTAATTACCAGCGAAGGGTTACATAAAATTGTGGTAAGTGGTTTGTTTCAACTTAAATAAAATTTTGAGTTTGAGGTTTTATGTAAACAACAGTTTTTGTTAGGAGATTCACCCATTATTTTTAAGTGTGCGATCAGGCCAGATCTGAATTAACCAGACGAAACCTGGATACTAGGCGAAAAACTCAAAAAAAAAAAAAAAAAGGATGATTTAATTCTCCCTTTATACTAATTACTCCGTATTAAAAATAAAATAAAATATTTATACGAACGATCTGCTCCGACTTAATTACATTGGTCATGGGTTCGGTTGCTCACCTCAAGTGATTTGTACGTTTGAATCGTACGAATTTTTTAAATTTTAATTAATTTGTAAATAATTTTTAATTAATTTATAAATAATTATAATATATTAAAAAAATAAAATATTCATATAATATGTAATGTACCAGCCTACAAAATATCAATTATTAGATTCAAAGGCACCTGTACCTAGAGGTCTACTGGCATTAGTCAGCTTGCTAGGTTCACTCCCTCTCATTTGGCGGGTTTCAAACCCGTCTCGTATCAAAATGTTCAAAAAAAAAAAAAAAAATTAAATTCAAAGAATATCCTCCATTGGCAGCGCCCATTGTTTTTTTCAATTGGCCACGTAAAGTTGTTTGGTCCCTCGTCGTTCGTCAAATGGTATTTCTATCTCCTTTCTATCTTACTAGTTATTCCGGCTAGTGTTTTTTATTATTATTTAATTTGACTTTTTCTAAGATGTGTCTATAGATACTTATATTTAATTTTATATTTGGTTTAAATTGATTTAATTTAATTAAAAATTAAATCAAATTAATATAAAATATTTAAATTTTAAAATTAATATAATTAGTTTAATTTATGATTTTATTTTCAAACGGTTCAAATTATCTGATTATAAAATAAAATTCAATTATCAAATAATTTAATTAAATAATATGATATTTTTATGGTATTTAAATTTTCTTTTTATTGGTTCACAAGATAATAACTTCATTAAGTTAATTAAAAAATAAAAATAAAGTATCCTCATATTCTTTAATTTTTTTTTTTTTAATTATGCACTCTAATTTTAATTTTAAATTTTAAATTTGCCTATAACTCTATCTCTCAAAATTTGTCTGTAACTCTATTTTTAAAATCCTAAATTTTAAATTTGTTCTTAAAATGATATTCTTTTCTCCTAACAAAACCTTAAAGATGCATTATTTCAAAAGTTTTAAAATTTCATAACAAAACTAGTTTTTGATCTTTTGCTATTCTTAGATATTTAATTGATGAGTTTTAAATTTTGATTATGAATGATCAAATCAATTATAGTGATATTCATTTTAATTTTTTTCTTTCACCTTTAGCAGGGTTTGGAAGATGAAATTAAGTCATTGGTATATTAAAAATAACTAATTTTAATTTTTAAAAATTACATGCACTATCCTTGAAATTTAGAGTCCTATTTTATTATCTTCAATGCCCTTATAATGTAACTAAGAAGAATTTCTAAATCTTTTTAATCTAGAAATTCTTTTTCATCTTTATAATTGTAAAAGAGTATAAGAATTTGTTTATAGGCTATGTCCTTTTTTAATTATATTTTTATTGATAATTTAGATGTTAATGTGTTTTATAGTTATATTTTCTACTTGGTATTAAAATTTTTTACATTATTTCATATATTTAATAATGTTAAAAACTTATTAATTCAACTGAACTACACCAATTTATTTAAGTTGAATTGATTTAATTATCATATAATAGTGGATTAGATTGGTTTAAAATCTTTACTAACTAATTAAATTGGATTGGCTTAAAAAATATTCAAATTCATATCAAATCATACCATGAACACCCTTACATATGCCCTTCATTTAAAATGTAATTAATATATTTTTACAACATTAAATTATAAAAAAGTGACTTTAATTTATTTAATTAATTAATTATATTAATAAACTTCAAATTGACATTAAATTTTAGTTATTTTTCATATAAATTAATTATAAAAAATATATTTATTATATCTTGTGTATTAGGCGTACAAAATAGGCAAATCTAATTTTATAAGTATTAGGAAAACACAATGATTAGTCATCTAAATTATTTATGCTCCTTCTTTTTGTAATAAAAGAATTTATTAAAACATTTAATATAGATAAAATTGAAACAAAACATTTAATGTGATTGCAAAAATAAAAATATGACAATTAAATTGAGACGCTCCACTAGCTAGCTATTAACAATTTAAAATAAAGAAATTTTTTAACCTTGTAATTATTGTATTTTTT